CTAAAATGATCACCATTGCAATAACGGATCTCATTTGTTGGCTACCGTTGTATGTGGTTCTACTTCGGGCTGGATTTGGCCTAGGGTTGGATACTCACAGTTTACCATTTATTGCTATTCTCTCCTTACCACTTAATTCTTGTATCAATCCTATCTTGTATACTATATTTATAACAACTTTTATCAATACGGCGAATAATTGGTTTAAGATATTGGGTTGCTGTTTATTACTTATGAGATATTGTTGGAGTTGTGGTGAACGAATTGAGCATAATGAACGCTATCAAGAATGGCATAGTAAGTTGATTACGATCAAATTTAAATAATTTTGGATTTAAAAGCTAGCTCTAGACTACGATAGTCTATAAAGCATACATTCCTTCATTTTAATGACTAATGCTCTAAATGCTTTATTTTAAATAATATTTAATATCTTGAAGGTGTTGAAATCGAATCTAGAATTAAGAAGCACCTGGCGAAATCATGTTTAACTACCTCTCATCACATAGATAAGGTCGGCTCAAATACTATTTAAATTACCTGTACAGTAATAAGAATGCTAAATCAGTAATTTAAAATAAAATGATTTCCAAGAAGTAGCTGCTAACATTATTTTCACCTTTTTAAGTCCTGAGTGACGAAAAAATATCAAGAAGTGATCATTTAGAGTATTTATTTCCTGTCTCTTATATCTCAATAGTAGAGGTTATTTCTTTTAAAAATTCAAGAAGCTACTATATTCTTCTATTTTTGTATTCCCAAGATGCGGCTCTAAATGCAACATCAAAATCAATAGATTTGATACTTTGTTTTAAATTTGGATAGAAAATTGTATAAAGCTTTAAGTAAATGCAGAGATATTAATTACCGTAGTTTCTTTAGATTTGGATAGGTAGTGGGTATTCGACTAATTGAAAGACAATAACAAGGTCTAAGTTGAGGTTTATTGCATTTCTTGTCTATTTAACTACCGTTTTAAGTGAGTTATTCGCTCATTAAATGCATTATCAGTTGGGGTGTGAATTAGTGATGTTAGAATTAAATTGGATTTGACAGTTTTGAAATTTTTCCTTCGTTTTTATGCTATTGCTTTAACTATGAAATGTATTAAACAATTTTCAATTTGAAATTGTTAACGAAGTATTTATTTTTCAGACCCTTTATATCTAAGTACCTCCAGAATAGTAGTTTTTCCTAGGCTTTTAAGTGTTTCATTTATTAGAATAAAATAATTTACTTTAAAAAAAGTAGATACTGCCAAAAACTGTCATACGGTGAAAAATAAACTGTTATCATTTCTAAATTTATCTAATTTACATTTTTAAATAAGTTTAACTGTTGCAATTAGTATAATTTATCTGATTGATACGATCACAAATAAGTCATAAAAATCTATGAAATTTTCCGCCTGAAGTTAGAATGGCCGTTAATTAATTTATTCATTAGTCTACGGTAGATTGCTAGTTAAATTATAATAATCTACTTAAGCCTCACTAAAGTAGGGCGATAGATATCACCTTAATTTAAATTGGCTAGGCTATGCACAGTAAATATAACTTCGAGTTTTAAAACTGACTCTCACATTTATAGAGCTATTTATTGGTTGAGCAAGAAACAAATACTAAGGCCTGTCCGTTCGAATTATTAAAAATGTATTCTAAGGATGAAATAAAATGCTGGAAAAATGAGATGCAATTCTATATTGCTATAAAACGGCGTAATCTTAGGTTACAAAATATTGCCAAGTGTTTGAGGTTGATTAATGGTGGCAAATGTCAAATGGTAAATGATGAATTGGTCAACATCGATATACAGGGAAAATTGTAAATAATATTAGCCATAACGCAAAACTTAGAATTTTATTAATGCGTATTTTTTGAAATAATCTTGACTGATTGAAAGTACAGTTAACGGTTGAATTCGTGAGGGTACTACCTAATCATTTTCGCCATTTACAAGCTTTGAATTTTATTTTACTAGAATAACATGCTACGCAACTAAGGGGCAAAATGTTTCTATATTAAGTCATTTAATGGAACTTGAGTCCAAAATTTTACAACCAACGCAAATTTTGCAAATACTTAAAGATACTGCCTTAGCTGTGGATTCTTTACAATCGAATTTAATTGCACATGGCTTCATCAATGCTGGTGCAGTTTTTGTTGTTACAGAGCCAAGTGTAAGTTGAGTGAATTTAGTTAATTGCAGCATACCGATTAATTGGAGATGGAGCTAATATTTCACATCTATTTAGATCAGCTTATTAAATAAATGATGTACGAATTTTCTAATAAACTCACACTGCATAAGAATGTTTGTTTAATTGATGAAATATAATAAACATAGAGCGTGACAGCTAGGCTTGGTAGCTTTTCTCGCGTTAAAATCTACTGGAAAGATAAGAATTGCAACGATAATGGGAGTGAAAAGACTCTAGCACTTCATCAAGACGTAATTGATTTTGGCCATCTTTCTGAAACACTGTCTTTATATTGCTGTAAGAAACTTTCAATTTCTACAGAATCATTACCGGAAAGTGAAAACAATAATTATCAGTGGCAAGCAGCTAAAGAAGGAGTAAGGCGCGTTAATTACTAATTCATTCTAGCATAATTTTAAATCAATTTTGTTGCACTAAAATTCATTCTTCTTGATAATTCGATGCAATATTTATGATTTTTTAAAATTAGACCCCAACTCTGTGACAGCTACAGCAATTTCTACCACAATTAATACCGATATAAATGAATTTATTAGTTTCGAATACACCTAGAGCTGCATTTGTAGAATTATGTTACAGATTATCCTCTTTTATTACTTCTAGGCTGCTATACAACACAGTTGTCACCATTTTGCAACGTGACTTTATCATGTTTAACGGTTGTTCCGCTATAAGGAACCAGTCTAAAATTTCTTTACTATGATTATATGTACTGGTGAACTACCCGTTCAAACTAATGGAAATTAAACTTTAAACCAAACACACGCTTAACATTTGAGTTGATTCTGTAATTTGATTGAAAATATTGCTGATTCATTGAAAACATGAGCCGCTTCTAATACAATTTATTATAGAATGCCTATTTATCTAAATCTTTCGAAGACAAACTCTACTTAATCTTATCAGAACCCCCAATCTAATTTAATATGATTTTGATCAAGATGGAAATTAGTTTAAAGGATTGCTCTTTGCAATACTGTCTACCATATCGTATTCTTATTCGACTTTTCACGATAACAGTTAAGCAGGTTAATATTAAGATAAATAGTCAATTTTATTGCACTCAATAAAAAAAAATGCGTAGAAGCTATCAGAATAGAAAAACAGTACAATAAACCAATCTATTTCTCTCTACATTACATATCTAAATCTTGATTATCGTATTCATCGTTTCTTTTTCAGTTAATTTATTTTATCTTTTGTCTTGTTTATCATTTATTAACCATGTAGTGATTTCAAGAATCACTATCGCCCACTAAGGCATCTTATGTTTATCATTAATTATGTATTTCTTAGACCATATCTTGTTTTACCTCTTTACTCTTGTTATCAGTGGACATCATTCATTGTTTCACTATTAAATAAGGAACCGTTACTAAATATTCGTGAAGCCGTACAATAAACTTACTTTGACAACATAGTGCAGATTATTTATTGAGCAGTTTTATTTTTATGTTTTTGTACCATTTTTTGTTTATTGTACAAATAAACTGATAGCTTAATTTGAGTTTATCTGTTCTCAGCTAAATAAGGTGAAAGACGCAATTTTAGGTTATTAAGGGGATGAAAAGTTATCTAGTAAAGACATCATACATTCCATACAGATTATAGTTAACACCATGGAGAATTTGAATGCAGCCTGCTAATATATTTAGTCGAAAGAAAGACAAAAACTTTACTACATTTGTTAAATATTATAGCTACCTTTACTTACTTACTAAATATAAAGTGTTACTTATGCAACCTAAACATTTGATGTCTTTAACCAGATAAAGTCTTGTTTGAAATAATGTCTGTTGCTATAGTGTTATAACCTAAATTCCCTTTATTTTTCTCCGTAGAAGATCATTTTAACAAGTTTGTTAATTATGGGCGGAGATTATAGATTTAATGTCTTCAATTTCTGGTGAAATTATAATTATTAACGTTAGAATAATATGTAACCACTTTACAACAATAGTTATAATTAGCTAATTTATCTAAAGTAATATTAGCTTGTATGATTTAAGATAAGTAGTAGTATTACCGTACAAATCATGGATAAATTGCAGTGCGGTTGCCCATTTATAAGAATATTATAATTTTTATCGTTATAATTATTATGAAATATCTATTATCATCAAATGAATACTCCAATTTATTGATTATGTTAGATATAGTTTAAAGATGTACTGATATATGGCGTGCAGTAACAACGTTGTAGTTAACCTGTAATTACAGCATTTTGTATACTTAATAAATGATTTAGAGCAAGCAAGAATTCGCTGCCAAATAATTTGTGACCAAATATATCTTCAATTAGAGTAATAGACGTATTAACAATCGCATTTCTAGTTTTGCCGACTGTTAGTAATATTTAATAATACTGGTGCCTTGTTTGATTGCTTGCAGTAGTAATCATGAAAATAGAATCACCTAAACAGTAATAGAGTACTGGAATAGATCTTAGCTAGCTAATTTAATCAATTAGGGCAATAATTTGTAATTGCAATATCCATAATAGAATCTTTCCGCGCAATTGCTTCGATCAGAAAGATATTGCAAAGGTAAAATTAAATCAATGAACTATAAAATTCACTGCAATGTATTTATCCAATTCAACTTATGCTATCTTCGAATCATCTATAATTTGGCCCGTTAAGCAGCATATATTAAAGCCATTTATCTGTTTTGTTAGTTTGTAAGTAAGATCGCTAAATAATTGTGAAAAAACTACAAGAGCGTTTTGTTGAGCATATTCAGATAAAATTTTATGCATTCAAAGGAAAAATGCACGATGCTATATTTTGCAAAATAATGCCGAATGTTCCTTTCTCAGGTAGTCGTTAGTGGGCCAAAAATGATGTATCTACGATGATGGAGTATAACATATTTTTTAAGGTGCTTGAAAGTACAATTTAATAAGATTTCTGAAGTTAATCCCGACGTGTCTATCTTTACTTTACTAAATGTTAAAGACCCTTTATTATAAACCTAAACTTAAGACGCTATCAAAATACAGTGGCGTACAACTGATTATCTATAGATGATAATTTTGTCAATTAATTAGACTTTAAATTTATCCGTTTGTCAAGAACTTGGTTAACCGCGATTATACTACATAATCGAGCTCACTTCCTTGCATATCTTTATGGCATAGTTTTTATTATTAATATAAACTTGATTTATTGCCAGCTATACGATTTGAAATACCACATATGTACATAGTTGTGCCAACCATAATCGGTAGAGGTATTGTTATTAACATACTCTACATCATTGACAGGCCTAAAATTAGGGCGGTTACTAGTGGTCACTGTTACATTTGAAAAAATATCAATTATATGACCTAAATATAAACTATCGTATATCCTCGCGGACTGTAAATTATTCGGAGAATTACTATCTTATCCAGTTTTACATAAGCAATACTTTTCTTATGTTAGCATCAACGATATTATATATCGAGCGTTTGATGTGTGTTCTTTCTCTTAGTAAATTTTTCCAACGTATCATATTCAAGGTGATACATGAAGTAAATTGTCGAACAGGCTATGTGTGCTGCATAAATAATATAATTAATTGTAATGAGATTATCCATATATTTAGCTAGCGGTTGATGAGAAGAAATGGCATGCCTCTAGCCAATAACTGGACGGAAACCGTGATGGAAGTGACACTAAATCATCTATAATGTGATAAATGCAGATATGCGCTTTTAGTATCGAATAGTATTCAGAAATCTCTCGCTGTAGCTAACCAAAGCTAAGTAAATCTGATTAAACCTTTCTTTTCCTCCGTCTTCTTTTCTGACCCCTTATTCTTACATTGGTAACCCTATAAGAACGAGGTGTAAATTTTTTTAACAGCAATTATACATTTATTAAAAAGTGTGGAAAATATTGAATAAAGGAGATTTTACGGTAATATATTCTGCTAAGAAAGAGCTGCTACTTTCTTGATCCAAAATAGCTTTATTATCATAATTTCTAAAGCATAAGGCCATTAACGTTGGAAACAAAACATCTTTTAACCTAAGTTCATTAAAAGAAAGCTTAGTGAAACAATGCGTTCTGAGGGAACGAAGTCTAAACTATATCTACCAACCAAATTATCTAATATATGTCAACTAACCGAGATTATTAATGATAAAACTAACATAATTACCTTGGATTACTAAAGTAGTCAAAAGGTAAAGCACAAAGTAATTGAAGAATGGTTGGGCTACGACTAGCTTGAATAAATGTTTGATTGTCGTTGTTAAGAATTGAGTAGTATCCAATGTTCATAATAATATCTTGCAATAATGCATCATCCTTGTGAAAACTGAAATGCCTATAGGATAGTATTAACAATGTAAACAGATAACTTATTCAGCTTCATGTACATTTTTAATTTCTCTCCTTATACCCTTAAGGAAATAAGCGTTAAGAACACAGTGTAAAATAGCTAATCTACTAAACATATCTTGAGCAAATTTTAAATAAGAAATTTAAATCGTTATAGCTGTCACTTAATTATGTCTAAAAAGTAAATCTATGTCGAATAATCTGTAAAAAATCAGTTAAATACCATAGTAAATAGACCATAACATGACGATATTCTAAGGATATTCCTTCTTGGCCTAGAATAGACTATGATTGATTGCAATTCAAATAAACTTTTTTATCAGCTTTGAATCTGTTTTAATCCGTATCAAAAATTACCTGAAACAAATCTAGATCTAATACTGCAACACAATTCAGCAATTCAATTGAAGTCTTTATTAGATTATGAATACGAGAACATAACTTTGGAGGATCAGATGCTCGTCGTGGAGGACCATTTGCTAACAAAATAGCGTATAGCAGTGATACTGTTCCTTTTTAGCATAAAAGAATAGTTTGAGTGTGAATCCAACTTAGAGCCTTTCTCCCGCAAAATGCAGGTTAACATTAAACATGAATCTTTCGGTAGTTTTAATTTCAAGCTTAGTAACTAACCAACAAATTGTGTTTCTTTGAAAGCGGTTAACAGATTACAGTTATCTTGAAATTTTTTATTCTTGAATATTGTTCTTGGCCTTAGTTTAATAAATAATTCCGTAAGCAAAATTTCTCCTTATTTTGATTATCCTAATGATAGTCAACATCCGTGATAAGCATACCTTTCAATAAGGTAACTTGACAACTCGAGCAGAAATTTAATGCATTCGTGTGACAATTCTAATACTCCATTATCAACAAGTATAGAGTTATATACCAAGCCAAAGAAAGATTTTAGAGCATCGATAATTCCAACGCAAACAATGTAGCTGAAGCATTTATTAATAATAATAAAATAGCCATCAATTTTTACCTACGTTATCCCTTATTTACAAAGTTGTTTAGGGACATTAATTTACACACCTAATACAGTCCAATGCTCGTTGATAAAGCGATACATTTTCCGATATGGTCACACTCTTGCAGTCATTCCTTATCAAACTTGTAAATATCGCTGATAACAGACTTAAAAAATTATGCGCTATAGGACAATAAGGGGATAATTTTTGCTTTTGCTTCCCTTCGGAACTTCCCTTTCCTTCTAAGTTTATTACCTAATTTTAAATTACATTTATTTAGAAATTAATTTTGGAAACACTAATTTGTGGTAAGGGTCGTTAGAGTAACAACAATCCAATTTCATGTCTTTCAATACAGCTAGGTCAACGTAAATTTATTGAGTACCTCAACTCTGATATACTAGAGGGTATCTTAAGTAGCGATTGCCTTAGCCATAATAATAATAACAACATGTAGCCTACCTGAAATCTTTTCATTAAAATATCAATTAATGAGATCACTTCGCCACTTAAAATGAACTCCATACACGCGTCTAAATTGTCCCAACAAATGAGAATAACTACTTCCGTAAAGCCATTTACATACCTGCAACGCAATTAGGATTTCATACCGTTAATATGAGATGTTACATACGGCTGTTCGATCAAAACTGATCATTTTAATGTTAATATAACGCATGAAATTACTTCCTAAAGACCGGATTAGAGGCTTGATTTCCAAACATAGCTAACAGTTTACATATTAAAGTAATGCCATTATTGTTTTTGAAGGCAACAACTTCAGTCTTAGATATCTACAAAGTGACATTTACGTTTAAAATAAAATTAGTTTTAATCTACGAGTTTTAATCATTGCTTGTGGCAGGATAAGTTGATGGTATTGATAATGGTATTGATAATATACCTTTGACTTTAGTATCGACTTAAGTTCTCTTAAGCACTTTTCTATAAGATTACATTGCGATTGATTAAGTTCGGTGCAGTCGCTCACGGACTTGATAGCTTTTTCTAAATCTTTTATAATTTTGGTTGTCCTGCAGAATATTTTCCGGAAGTTAACATTTATCGATAATCAGTCATTAGGGATATTCACTGAAAACTTATCAGTGTTGTCCTACTTGGTTGAGTTTCCAGCCGTTAGTGCTTTTTTGTCCACTAGCTTCACTTTGGTTCTGCACATACAAACGTTGATAAAAAAATAAAGCTAGAGTAACAAATATGATCACTCTTCTCTATATATTACTTTGAATTTAATCTTTGCTTAATTTTCTTGGCTTTCTTTTTCCAAGATTGTTGTCGTAGTTTACTTTCATTTGCGCTTTGCTCATCCATATCGCTTTGAACGTCGACGATGTAGTTCATTGATTCCGTAAACTAAAATAACAGTGAAAAACATAGGAATGTTAATCAATGGATATTTCATTTTTGCGAGAACTTATATCAAATCGATGATAACAGGTACATCAAAAGCTTTATTTTTACAATGTCATCCAGGCAAAATTCTTTGTTATTGTCTCCATACAAAGCTTCTCTGTGAATTTTTCCTCGTAAATGGCTAAGAAGATATACTTCAGACATAATCTGATTTTTTATAATAAATATGTAGTTGTTATAATTAAGATTCACCTCTAAGCCAATTAAGGTATGCCTTGTTTTCAATACAGAAATATTGACATAACCAAGGCGCCAGTATATCACATTAATTGAATATTGAAGGCATTATGGCCAATAAATGTATAAATGTACATGTACCTGAACTTTGCAAAGTGAACAAAATTTTTTACATTCATAGGGAGCAACGTTAGGAACATAATCCGAGGACATTGGACGATAAGAAGTAGCTGCCTACAGTATTAGGAATAACAACATTACACTTACGTCAAGAAACACTTAGTCTAAATTCTCGTTTTAGCTACGATGATATACGTATTAATCAGACATGCAAATATTAAATATAGAATTTAACCTTTTCTTTCTTTTGTTCAATTAACATTTCGTGCCGTTTGTTACTCTCAGTATGCTATTTAAATAGAAATATTCCAATATTTTAAGCATTTAGAGCAATGATTTTAAATCAGTGGACTTATTATTTTCTATCGGTAATGAAAGCTTATTCATTTAATAGAATGATATTTATGCGCACACTTTACTCAGAGACGGTAATTGTTTAACCTTTTGCTCAATCCTTTTTTGAAGTTCTTTAGCTGAAGTTGCTAGAGCAGCATGGAGCGCTGATTTTTTTTGTTCTCGGTCGCTACAGTGAATATTTATAGAATTGATACGGCGTAAACTTTTTATGCAATAATTTACGGCATAGATCTTATCGCGGTAATAATTCTACCGTGCTTTCTCCTTCAGGGCATCACTTCTAGCCTTATCACGTTCCTGCCGTTGAAGTTCTACTTTGGCCTCCTAAAGGTAAGTTAAAGCGTTTCAATAAGTCAGCAAATTGAAAATTTACCGTGATAAGTAGGTCCATGCAGAGTTACTATAGATTGTTTGAACAATGTTAAGAATTGTTAACACCTTTACCTTTTCTAATTTTTTTAGTCGCAACTCTTCTAATTTAAATTGCCTTTCGGCTTCCAAGGCACGTCGTCGCTCCTAAAATGTATAGGATCATAGATAACTTAGTTAATCATTGACAGTATTAAATTAGGTCAAGATATCTAAACTTTACTCGAACTAACCAGCGCAGCTTCTTCCTTTGCAGCTTGTTCTTCGAATTTTCTTTGCCTCTCGGTCTATCGAGTTACATTAAATAGCAGAAATTGTACTAGTAATTCAAAGTTGACAACTGCATTACTTCATTATTTAAGATGAATTCTTTTCAACCTGAATGTCCTTCAAACGTGCTTTGTGATTCTAAGAAATATTTTTGTATCATAAATTGCAAATCAATACCGTTTTATCAGAATTAGCAGTAAGTCATTGAAGTGTTAAATTATGATTACATCATTCGTGCTCACACCTGATGTCTCGAAAATACTTCAATCCTCTTATTTTGGGCTTCCAATGAATTAATAAACGCAATCTCACTAATCTGTAGAACATGATTTACATTATAGTAATAAATATTCAAGCACACGTATGCAAACTACGTAGATAATTCACGTCTAAGCGCTCTTATTAGACATTGCATCTTTAACTGACTTTGGCATCTTCTTCCTGAGCCTTTCGTACTATTTCTCGTAGTTGATCAAGTCTCTTTTGTTCAGCTGTTGTATGCTTCTTTTCAAAGTATTCTTTCTTTTGTCGCTGCATCTCTTCTTGCTGCTGTCGAATTTTTTTCCCCTAAATATAAAATTAGTAGTATTTCATATCAGTATTTCTACAACAATTCGTCATAATCCTAGTATGAATTTTGTTTAGCACTAACAAAAATATACCTTTTCTAAGGTTGATTTTACTTTTTTTAATCTTTCTTTTTGATTATAATTTCTTCGCTCCGCAGCTTTCATCTATTATGTGACGTCATGCATATGTTATTTAATCGATGTAATTTTTATCAATTTAAATAGCCAAATAGATGTTTATAATATATGACGGAATTAAGCACATCAACTGCAGCCAAATGTATTACTGACTTGGCGTTCGTCTTGAATTCGCTTAGTTTCATCAAGAGGTCTGTAATTACATCGATAAGCAATAAAATGCTGATAAGTCATGTATACTGAATCAATTTTATAGCCAATAATATGGTAGCTTTCAGTTTATGGCTGTTTTAATTAACTATTAAATGCTAAATTTATTAGAATATACCTTTTCCTTGGGGACGACAGTTTTTGATGAATTTCAATGACCCTACCTGGAGGTCTAACATTGGAATCAACATCTAGAAGTTCCATTCTATCTGTCAAACTGAGATTTCTGAATTCGTCTTCAATAAAAAATAGCAAACTTTACTCCAGGATCTTAAAATTCATTTCACCAAAGCAAGAATAAGTCATATATTATTGATAAACTACCATTGGCTTCTAAAAATGGGATAATGTCTTCATCGCCGTAATCATCCTAACATCGTTTAGAAACGCCGTCACATTACTAGGCCATAATACTGCATAAAGTATTTAAATCAAAAGTAAAGTACACCTGAAGTTTTTGCAAGTCTGTTTCATTTCTAACAGAATCTGATTGTTGGTTACTCCCTGTAAGAAGATTCAGAAAATTGACTTCAAAATTGATTATTTGATCATATAATCAGAAAGCTAAATTATATTTTTACAATTTGAGGTCATTATACAGTTTCAATAATAGGCAAAAATGCAAGTAATATCTTACGGGTACGCTTAGATTTCCCGTGGTGTACGAGGGTCCATTCACCATCGTTATCGATAGAATCATTGTCTTTTTTTGTTTGCGACTCCGTAGTTACTACCTACAGTATAGCAAAATGTCTAATTTACTGTCGTCGCTTACTAAACTGAGATACACATTCTATTACCAACATTCGAATACATAATTTTCACTATGATAATTAAGAAACTAAAGTATCGGTTAATAAAGTAATGTATTAGCCTGGTAAAAAAAGAAACTGAATGACTTTTCGTACCTCTTTGATAACACTGCCTTTATTTTTCACTCTATCAGCCCAGGTGGTCCTTTCGTGTACAACTTCAAGGCGTGGATTGCTATCATCTTTGGCTAATGGCATTTCTACAGCAGCGTTCTGTTGTCCATCGCTTTCTTTTATGTCAAAATTAATTTTCCGGGCAGAACCCATTGATAGTCTGTTACTGCTACTACTGCTAGTACGTTCTGAGCTTCTTCTACTACCATCCATAGAAAAAGATTTACCGGGAGAGGATTTTCTGACTTCCCAGGCTAAAGATGTTGGTCTATGAGGATATATTGAATCGATGGTTAAAACAGCATGTTACATACGCTTACACTTTTTACTATAGTAAAGTATAAAATTGTGTGACCAAAATATTTAAAAACAATAATTGAATACATACTTTGAATCTGCAACTTCAAATTCTGTTTGTAAGTGAATTCTTTCAACTAATGCATTAAAATCTTTCTTGCATATATCTAATGTCATAATGACTTCCTGCCGATCATATGCATATGAATTGTTTATTAATATTATGATATCAATAATATACACATCATTTCGCCATACTATCTAAATACGCGTATAATGGAAACTCTATCGTAGTTCATAATTACTTATAATTCAAACTTTATAACTTAGGTTTTTTGCATTGTTCTTTTGGTGCTAACTAAAGCAACCGAATTTCGTTATAGGCGTAAATACGTTAAGGTTACTCTGAGATGATCTTACGACACAAACTACCATGAGATTGGTTACCTGACAACCATTAATATTTTCATCATTCTCGCAAACGCAATAAATTTCATCAACAGCCCGATTTAGATTATCAAATAAGTAAGACCAATATCTTGCTTTTAGGTTATGTCTGCTGATAATACTTTGTAAAGAAGAGTCGCTGCTGGATTGCTGGTTGGTATCACTCTCTTCTTCCTCTGTCTATAATTTTGTTCCATAGGCATAACTAATTATTAATTTTCTAGCGAGTAAATTTAAAATACATCAACTACAGTAATGAATATGATATGAGCCGATTAAGTAACTTCTTCGATCATTTGTTTCTATAATGATGTTATTGTTAATGCTTGCTACTAGACTATAAAAATATTTATTTATTTTATATGAGAAATTATTTTTAAAAAAGTTGATGGATTACAATATCACTTATTGGGTTCGACACGAGAGGGGCTATGTTTATGAAGATATAAAGTTAGCTCTGTTCAATTTTTCATAGTTACAATCATTGTTTACAGGCTTGAGAGATTCAATACTTACTATCAAGTCCAATATTATGAACCTTAATATTGATAAAGATACCTCCGCCATTGCCATTTTGAAGAGACGTTAACGAAATATATGCACTGAAGGACTATATTGGGCCTTGCGGCAAATAATATGCAATAGGGCGAATATAATATGTATGATTGACTAGATGATTAATTACAAGAACATGGTTATCCGATATCAATTTAAAACCTAGATTGCAATTGTGCTTTTCGTATAATTCAACTATCTCTAATAGTTGCTACATATTTGGCTATCATTACGAGGTTAGGGTCTGCTATTTCCGTAATGAATCTAGTAGGGTTAGTCGAATGACAGCTATAGTTGAATTTGGTATTGCAATTGGATACTTGCTTGCTCAGATAATACGTTCAGTTGTAGATGAAATGGTATTTCAACCGTAAATTTCATCATACATTGTACTGAGTTAACTAGGATCGCGTTACATATTGACGATAGCATGCTTATGATGTAACTTAAACATGACCATAGCAGTGATTGTAGGAATGTGTCAAGAGTGGGCATATTTATTGGCTTACAATGGACGGTTATTTTTGTATATACATACGTTAATAAAATTGTTTCGTTTATAAAGTTGGTGTGTTATAGAGATTTCGGATCTACTGTCAATGTGGCATCGATTAAATTGAATAGGCAGTCCATTAGGAAATTGCTATAACCATATAACATTTACAAACTAGTCAAACCAATCAATGGAGGCATTGGAGAATTATGTCGAATGAGTCATACAAAGTCCAATTGATTGATTCTTACCATAGCAGTACAGTATATTAATGTCGAACTATTGAAGTTATAGTAAAAATAGAACAGCAAAACTCTCTTACTACCAACATGTGATAAAATAAAAGGGCATCTTGCATTCCTGAACTCTATTCACACTTCTATTCTATATTCATATTATAGGAAGTTTCAACAGTCAGACAATTCCTAACGAACATTACTGCATGTCTTGTTGGTATCATTCCACTGGTCAGATCCAGACTGTTAAAGCAGTAAAGCAACATCTACTTGATCGGCTATGAAAGTCTTTCCCATCGATTATATCATACATTGCTATCTTCATTCAATTATTAGAACTTTATTGGAGTACGAGTATGATGATCTAATCGATCGCATCTGAGAGTGCCAATGACAGCTTTGGGCATTGGTATGAACTAGTACTCGATCGTTGGATTGGTATAATCGACTGTAAATACAATATCAACTTGTCTAAATTAATGCTTAAAGTAAGGATAGCAGAGTATTTTTTACTTATTTTGCAGATGCATTGCTGATATGATTATCGTCATCAATATAAAGTACAACATTAGCTGACCTCTAGATTAATTCACATTGTCTAAATCAAGCTTGGATCAATTTTAGGTGCAGTGAAATGGATCCAAATCATTCTCGAGGCCATGAACAAGATATACTGTATATAGGGATAATAAATTAAAATTTTGCTTTGGATCACTACTGTAGATATGCATTCTACGACGCTATACTGTACAGTACTGTCGATGAAAGCTAAAAGATGCTCATTCTAACCTACGCCTCCTGCCTACTATCTATTTGATGAATGGATGAGAAACTCGATTAGGGTTATCAGCTTGTGTCTGTCGTACTTATCCAGTTGCATATTTCACCTGTAAAATTTGACTCTTTTTCAAAGGCATTTTTTTTTGGCTACAACTGGATGTTGAAAGTCGTCGATCAATTCCTCCCTTGTCTAACCATAGAGGTAGCAAAAATGAACTATTAGGCTAACTTCAAATTGGTGGTAAGTTTGAATTCTGGCATGCCAGTTGGTTAGAATGGATCGTGAAGAATTCTGTATTGGCAACAAGCTTTGCTTTGTCGCTAATTGTCGGTATACTGTAGTGTACAGTGTACAGTGTACAGTAATGTATTCGCACCTCTGTACTGTACACTGTACAGTCGTACACCGCTGTAGTACACAAATGCAATCTGAATGTAAGCGAAATGCAAGCGAACAGTACCAAAACAGTACCAAATGCAAGCGAATAGTACCGTTCAGTATACAGTAGGTACAGTACAGTATCCTGAGTACGCTCAGTCAGCTGTACAGTACAGTATACAGAACTTTCAAGCGAAACCTTCCTCGGAGTCTTCTTTGCTTTTCTCTCTCTCGAAAAAGTTACTTACAGTATAAGATATACATGTTATCCTCTGCATATCAGAAAGCATCCTTTGCGAATATACCGTCCAGGTAACGTGACACACTCTACAGTACAGTATACACAGTACAGTACTGAGTTTTAACAACGGCAAGGAGACCCACTCTGCACAGTGCACGCCACTACCGTACTGCAAGCGAAGTTGAAGTACTGTACACTGTACAGTGTACAGTGTAGTTCCGGCGTTACTATGGAAATGAAGCTGCAGTAGACTTCAAGTTTTGTTGTTGCTCATATTCGTAACTGCGTTTGACTTCGTGGAAGGGAAGTGATGCTTGAAACATTTTGAATAAGTTGCCACGTTTGATTGGTGTCACAAAACAGCTTTGCAACAAGATAACGTAATGTACGATCAATAAGTCAATTCCTTGAACCACGTATCAAGGAACGATATCTGCACTAAGAGAAACACTTTTGCTCTACTAGCAGATTACACAAAGACTTAATCGCCTCGTATTTTACGTTAAACACCAAGTTTGAGAATCCACTTTATTACACGATATACTGCATTTATATACTATTCCTCAATAGTTCATGAGTCATAGTTAAGACAATTAACATTGGAATCATTTACTGAATTAGATATCAATTTTAGCTACTGCTCCTTTAATGCAGACAACAGTATTTACGAACATAGACATGTAATGACTAATACAGAATAGTCAGATTACGATATGTCCTATCACGGAATATTTCCATGATAATTTACAATCTACCATAAGTAAATTACCATCACAATGATTCGAACTATAAGCAGATGATTTGCATTCCCTATTATAACTATTAATTTCAGTATGTGTACAAGTGTCACTGTCATAAAAAGTCAGTACTATATTAAAATACAGTATATCCAAATTAGAAGTTAACTAAATAAGGATAGTCTAACAGAATTATCCTAACATAGTTATTTCTACTCTAATATAGTATATAGCACTGTCACAATTGGCTAACTCATGGAAACCTCTTTGAGCTATTTTGCCATGAATATTGCCTATAAATTGATTGGGATACTTTGCAAAGTTGCAAGCTGATGGAATTGTCAGCTGCCACAGTTGCGCATTTTAGTAATACATTAAAAATTTCTTTCTTTCAAAATACTATAGGTAACTGTCACAGCACACTATCCAGCTCTGTACAATTTGGTAGATTTACTGCACATTCTTTGAGACTGAAATATGGTGACATAGAGTTGGAGTCATTTTGGAATGAGTTGTCGTTTTCTGATTGGATAGCGTACTATAACGTCCTTTTAAGTATTTTCTACTCAAAAGACACCAAAAAAACGTGTTCCTGCCTCATTTATGTAAGGCGGTAGTCAAATAAAGTATACTTGTCACTTGAAGAAGGGAGGTGGACTATTTTCTGTCGTTCCTTGTTGCAAGCTTTGACTTGTAACAGTAGCCTACTAAACAACGTAGTTATCTAGGGTTTTTGAACGTCCAGAGACTTGGCTAATTAGTTTTATTGCTCTACTCAATTAGTGCGGCGATGAAGGTAGTCGTTGAAGATCATAGTATTGGTTGGTCGCCTGTGCTATAATAGAAGTTGTAACTACTAGTGACAGATTTAATTCAAGTTACAATGAATCAGTTAATATAATAATAATAAGAATCACAAGTTGAGAGGTAGTAAACTTTACTGTTATTATTTTATCATAGCAAGGGCATTGAAAACAAACAATTTATTATCCTAACTGATCAGCCCTTAATTGTAAGTTGCGGCTCTTTTAGTCTATTGATTTAGTATTACTTATTGTACGCATATACTGCATACATAAATGTACCTGTTGTGAACAAGTCGAGTAATAAGTTTGTACTGTGTGCTTCTCGTTTCGGTCATTTGATGAAGTTGCTAAGATAAAGTACTAGTGTTACTAAAAAGCCGTTTTGTGAACATTCTTAAGAGATTTGTACCGTGTTTTGTATTGTCATATTTTCTTCTAATTGTTACAAATCACAATTTATGATGTTGGAAAAATAAAATATCGACTGAGTGATTGGGTGAAGAGGCTGATTGAAAGCATAACAACTAGCACTTGTGCGGTATACAGTAATAAGTAAACATGGATTCATTATCGTAAGCTGGAAATCGTATTAGAGAATACGAGTGTAACTACATAGCAGGACGGTAGCTGTCTTGAAGTAGAGTTTAAAAATGCTAATTAATGTAATGAATGAAGTAATTAAGGTAAAAGTAGAACAATGACATGCTTATAGCGATGTTGTACAGCTTTCCTAAATAGTGTAAGATTAAGTTAATAAGATTGCGCAGAAATAACTAAAGTTGTAGGCATGAATGCAGGATTTACTGTAGTATTTATCAACTAGAGCTGATTTTATACTATCTGCAATGGACCATAGCATATTTTTTCATTGCTAACTTCGAGGACATACCCCGATAAATGCAGACTAGTACCATACTAGAGGTACAGCGCTAATTATTTTAATAAATACCTACAAACCTACATTATTTACAGATTTTAACTTTGTAGATCCTTTGAATATTATTTTTCTGTGAAAAACTAAAAAGTTTTTACTTTTGTAGCTATACTTCGCAAATATAAAAACTAACATCGATCTGTTTGCTTTAAGACAGGGTTTATTTATCATATGCTATCTCTCATATTTCCAAACCTTAATTGGCATACATTAACTTTATTTAAATATGAAAATCTAGAAGTTTAGATCTACGTATCAACTTATGCACTATCTATCTTTGATTTACTGTAAATGTACTTAGTTAAAGTTAATTTTGAAACTGCAGTACTCTATATTTAAGACCATCAGATAATATGACATACTTGCAATAGAAGACATTAAAACTAACATAGTTTAGATATAGTATCATATGTTTTAACTGAAAGCCATACATGTTAGAGGTATTTCTGCTGGATTAAACTACAACTCTTGCGAATTAATAAGAAAGAGAGAGTTGAAAGCGCTAAAAATTTCCTCATCCATCACTTGGTTCAGGCATTCGATTAAATAGTTGCTCAATAGTTGAGATTATGATTTCTTGACGTTCTTTGATATTACTATGGTGTTGGCTTTCGTAAATTACCGATTTAATATGCTGCAGCTAGATAAAGATTTACAGGATGTCAGACTTAATTGCTAGATCGCCTCAAAATTCAAAACTAAAATATTACTCACAAACATAGCTTAAGACTAAATTAGGTACTAATCTTAAATCAAGCTAAGTATTTTAACATTTGACTTAGACTCAAAGTTAAGCAGAACAGTAACCAAAACATAAAAATTCATTTTAACGCAATGGAACAGTAAAATACCCTTCTGATATGTTACATTTTAGTTTTCGCAATTCTAGGCGATAAGTTCAAATAGTTTAAAACGTTATAAATGGAATACCATTAATTTGATTTGTAAGTGTTCATGAATGACAGCTCGAATAATGCTGCATAGTATCTTACCGATTCTAGAGCTAACTCCCAGCCGTCGCAGCTAACATCACCTTGCGATGCTACTTCACTATCATTCAATGGCCGATTTTTATCGATTTGGCAGTACAGAGAAAGAGCTTCAGTCAAGGAGACCAACCCATTAATGTCCCTACACATTAACTGTGAGATTGTTTCATTCTGTTTACTGCCCGTGATTAATTGCAATCTGTGCATATGCGAAAATTCACTTAATAGTGCTGTTGCCTGCTGCTCCTATTTAGATTGTTGAATACGTTTGTAATTAAATAATAATTAGAAAAGTACTAAATTAAACTTTTCATTTATAACAATGATTTTCCATAAGATAAGAGTATCTATTGCTCGATGATGTATCATGCATTCGGTTACCTTGTGAGATGTAATAAGGAGAATGGCATGAGTCCCAATATTGCCGTGGACTATCATATTTGAATGTAAGGACTTGATTGCTATTGCAATATCTAGAATGATCTTGACAATAACTGTCGGGGACAAATGTTTGGAATTGTATTCGAGCATCTCTTTTAACGATTGTAATTCATTACCACTCATGTAGTAACAAGTTAGGCTTCGAAGGTGGAAACAACAGTATATCATTTTAGCAAATAAGAAAAGTGCAAGATATAAGGACGATATAAATACCAGTAGTTATTTAATCACATGGCATGTGTATAGTATCGAGTTCAACCTTTGCTATTCTATTTAAAGCTATATTGCATTAAAATACTATAATTAATAACAGTTACGTGTATTCTGTAGGTAGATTCTTTATTTAGGAAATTTAAGCGATATAGGTTCAAAATTACCTTTGCTTCAAAACAGTTGACAAAACAGTATTTATAATTTGATGTGGTTTATACTTTTAGATTAATAAATAAAGTATTACCTATCAATTTCGTTAAACTGAATTTCATCTAGTAATGGTATAATCGTTGGCAGGTATAATTCTGCCCAGAAGTGAGCAGGATGATAAAATGTACCACTGTAAGTTTTAATATATCTTGACATTACAAATTTACTTGCTTTGCTTTAGAAATCTGATAATTATTATGGGCAATTGGCAGATGAAATCTCATATATTTGACAGTTTTATTACTAATAATCTTTCTTCATTTCTAAACCGTGGATTTATTGCAACTGTCTACGTTGACTATTTCTAATTAATTGCGTATTAAAGTTATATGACTGGGACTTTTAATCCAATACTATTAAGTGATTGTGATCAACTTACAATTTATCTAGTAGCTTGGCTCTATCTTTCTTTAGTAAAGGGATATGGCATTTCTTTCCTTCACATATCCAAAGACATTGAGATACGTTTAGTAAACACCAACGTCTCATGTGAACGTAGCGATAGAAATGTACTTCCTTTTCCCATAATTTTCTTTCAGCTTTATTATATAATTTTATCAAAGCAAATAAGGTTTTTCCATTTTTATTAATAAATTGAGCACGGATATAGCCCTGAAGTCAAAGAAAAATATCAATAATTTTATATTATAAATTGCAACGGAACTCTTTTCGTAACAAATTAGCAAACTAAGATTGATTTCGAGGACTGCTAATAACTGTCTGGAGTGAATAACATACACTATAGGAGTGAAATACTTACAGATTTAAGAGGAAATTCGCCAAGGTTGAGTATTACGACTTGAAAATTGGCAAAACCAGTATCTTTTTTAAGTTTAGATTACAAGGTCAAAAAGTTTAGGTAATGAATTTTAATCACGGTAAAATTCATTTACAAGTGATCATGTACCATTTCTCATTCCCACTACGGATACGATTTAATTCCAAAATATGATTTGAAGTAAATTACTGAATTATATATATACATCGGTATAAATATTAAAGTGATTTCGTTACTATCGTAAAATTACTTGCTAACGTCTAAATAAAGATTTTCTATATTTTTTTTTAGATTAAAATTTGAAAAATAGTACATTTTTGCTTGCAAAACTATTACACTAAGTATATCAAGATATATTTAATTTTAGACTAAAATATGATAATTTCGGTATGATACTGTTAAAAGTTAAAACTTGTAACGAAGAAATTAAATATGCCATTAACGACTTAAAACATCAGGTCTAATGTCAAGTTTGTCTTCTTTGACAAGTGACAACTACCTACAGCAAAATCTATTACTGATAAATAATTTCTCCTTGGTCTGAAGGTTAAAGTACACCTATAGTCTCTTTAATAGAAACTGAATCCAAACTTTATTGAAAAATCAATCATTTTAACGTATTCATGCAATAAAATTGGTTATTATTATTGTACTCCGATAATTTAAAACTATGCGCTTCTGATATAAACTTTCAGTATATAAAACGGTAATAATCAACTAATACTAAGATATTTTATTTGATGAAATAAGATGAGCATTAGTTGCAAAATTTATTTCTTGACAGATTCATTACCTTCCTTGGCTACCACATTCAGTTTACTAATAGCATTTTTACTAATTATCGATGTGGTGTATATTGCCATCGATGCATGATACTGACGATTATAACACTTATAACAAGTTAGATAAGAATTCACGTAATTCGTAAACTTTTTGGTAAAGATGGTATAAATGATTGGGTTAATGCAAGAATTCAAGGGCAAAGCTAACACTGCGATGAATGGCAACGTATGAATATCTAATCCATATCCCAATAAAACCCGTGTAATAATAACATAAAACGGCAGCCAACATATAAGATCTGTTATAACAACTGTAACCATTTTAGCTGTAGCAATTTTATCAATGTTCGATAAACTTTGCTTTGTTTTCCGCCTAGACTGCGTAAGTGACTTAATGATAAGTATATATAAGACTGCAATAATTATCCATACTGCAAATGTGAAGCCGCAATATAATATTAACCATGTTAAATACCAGTAGTTATCGACATTTCCAGGCAAACAAGCGCTGTTCGTGCCATATAGGCGATAATATGAGGATTGACCAAAGCTTGATGCGATAGGAACAGCTATAAAAGCGATAGATATAGACCAAACCGCAATCAAAACCCATAATAATAAGGAATACCTTAAGCGATAACTAGTAAAAGGAAAGACTAAATAAAGAAAGCGATCAACCGTGATGAGTAGTAAAATAATTGTCGATGTTAAACAAGATAGCGAGATAAGAAAGCATGAAATCAAACATGCTGGACTTCTTAACCAAACTTCTACAAATTCTGAGTAGCGCTGGGCATAAAACGTATTAGCAGATGCGACTATGATCAAATAGACTCCCATTAGAAAGTCCGCAATGGATAAGTTTACAATTAATACTTTTGGAACGCACTTTCCATCCTTTCGGAATGGAGAGTGCCAAACAATAGATATAGCATTTTCAATCACTGCAAGGTTACCCAAAATCCAAATAATTATTCTTAGGATGTTATGCGATAGAATATAAGAACACGTAGATAAGCTAAGTTGACTAGGTAGCGGTTTACAAGAGATAACCGTGGAAGGTATATTGCAGCAGAGGTATTCACGAGTAGAAGATCTAATTAAAATTAAGAGATAGCGATATTTTTGACTTATACTGAAAAATAGGTACGATATGAACGATTTCTTAATAGCTCCAACAAGATACATGCTGAATCAATTTTGCTTTGTAGTCATCCGTAATTAATAGCTGTTCTATGGATTATTTGAATGAAATAATATTCTTACATTTCTGTTAGCGATCTTGAGAACCAGAAGGCTTGACTACTAAATTCCATGATTGGATTATGATCTAAAGTTCTAAGATAGAAATAGCTAGTACATTATTTTTTTAGTTGCCCGATATGATGTCTCTCTACTGATAATTATGGTAAATGTGCCATAAATATTTTTCAATTGTGAAAAGTGATCATATCCGTATTATTAATTAATTATTAACAGATTTTACTGAATATGCAAATGATGTAATATTTGGGAATCTAATATCTGAATGCGCTAATTTTAAGCAAATACACAGTAATTTGGCCTATTACATTTTAATGATCCATAATCATTATTAAAGTAGTTACTAGGCACCTTTAGAACAGCAATACATAAAATTATCCTAAATATTATCTTCAATAAAGTATTCGATAGGGTCAATAACGATACCGTACTTCTAAAACTTTAAAAGAATTCTCTAAAGACAACAAATGATGGCATAGAAATTATTGTAAACTTTTTCTAACAAAATATTTGAAAAAATTGTGTAGCTATTACAGTTCTAAATATCCATCAAGGTCTAAGAATTTAATATTTTAATGCGTAGAAAATTAAGTTAATAATATAATTCGTTAATTATTCCATACACTAATTGAAGATAGGGTAGTCCAAAAAAGCAAAATTTGTCCAGTGTGCTAATCCGGTTGTAATGGAGATATCTATTAATTAGAATAAAAAATAAGGCAGTATAAAGACCGAGTAATAGTCTTCTACTGTTATTGCTGCTTCGCCTATGAAGCCAAAAATTTGAGTTAGCAAAATTGAGTAATTCCCTAATGAGAAACATGAATTTGGCTATCAGATACAGCCTTAACTGGACAATCCCAGTCTTATTCTAGAAACAGTACAAGTGCATCACCTCATTCTATTTGCCATCTACTGTACTACTAAAATTTAGATGAAATCATTACAGGATGCATTATCGCGTCAAAGCTATTTTTGAGAACTTAAGCATAGTTAGGCCAATCAACTTCTAGGTAACCTCAATACAGTGATATCGGCTTAATGTGTCCGTCTTATTATATTTGAATAGACTGATTTTACTGACATTATTGGTAGCAAAACATAAATGAAGCAAGATTAACTTTAATTGTATAGACATCAAATTAAATTAATTGGTACACTTACAAAACCCGCAAGGAAACGTTTGGCTTAGTACGATTACAAATATCATATATTTGATTGTGCGACAAATCTCTGCAACAGCAATCAAATTGATTATGATATTAACTGCTTCATTCTCGGATTGTAAATGCTTAAGAATTTAAGATATCATTGCTACAGTATATTTTGTGCAATGAATGCCTATACAGCACTAGGAGGAAACTTACCGCGCTGAATATCGCTAGTTCACAGTGTTATTAGTAAATATTTATTAACATTAAATAAATATTAAATACTGAAAAAAATCTATTGAAGTAACTGTATCATCATAAATATACTGCACTGTTCCTTTAATACGCAAGCCGAAAAATTACTCAGTAATGATTGTAGCAGTAAATTTTAGGTCAGATATTACAGTTGAAGGAAAATAATTCTTTAAAGTAATTAGGAACTATTAAAATAAATTGTCGTAAAATGATAGTCAATCTTCCTTTTTTTTATTATTATGTTAAGCTTGAAACACTTACAAAGTTGCAACATTTGGTAGTCTGATTAAAGTGTTGTAATCCCAATCTTTTAATCTATTGTTGGAGAGAAATCTGCAAAATTAGATTTTCATTAAATTAGTACAACATATTTTTAAAATAAAATTTTATCTTTTAATGATTAATTTACTCAACAATATAGACTAAAAAACTAAACTTTTTAGGATTTACTTAGCGAATAATATAATTAACCGATTTAGCGTCATTTATTATATCCTTCAAACTTAGTAGCAAAATATAGATTAGTCGAATTGCTCACAAGAATTTCAGATAATTGAAAGCTGATAAATCTGACATATGTACTTCGTCAATTTCATTATTATCAAGCATCCTATAAAAATTAGAAGATAAAAAGACTGCTAAACGTAGAGAAAACTTAACAAGTTTTAGGTATACGTGTATTATACGTGATAGCCTGTTTAAAGTTTTCGAATTTTTTCTTTACTCGTACATAGTTCCAAAAAATGGAATCGATTCTATTACGATTACTGGCATCTTACGAAGTTTGAGACCTTTCAGAGATCTACAATGTTTAGATAGAAACGTATAATCATCCATTAGTATCTTTTCCAATAGTAGGAAATTTCCTTATTCCCATCTTTGAGTATTTGACTTTTATATATACTATGTTATGTATAGTACGTCAGTTTTACATACATGGCAGAATACCAATTCTCTGATAGAATAGCAACCACTTCTTTAAGCGTAACATTTGTGTAGCTTAAGCTACTGCTAGGCAATGTTCAAGAAGGAAATCAGCATGGCTACAGTATGAAGATGTAATTATTAGATATTTAGATGGAAGACTCACATCTGTTCGAGTTTGGGTAGCATCTTAAGTATATGTAAAGGAGTACCAGTAAGATTATTGCCATCTAAAATTCTACGAACGAGATAACTTTTAAATTATTATAACCAAATAATATTGCTGACATGAAATAACCTAATTTCTTGTAATTAATTTTAAAGCTTAACTAAAGCCTTAACGGTGAAATTATGTTATTTAAAACGGACGATGTTTACTCTAGAATTCTAATGTAACTTTTTTACGGTAATGGTAATGTGATCAAATTAGATCAATTCCTAAATTTAAACTTGCTCAATTACTAAACAGTTTATTTCACGGTTAAAAGAATTAACATCGATATCAAGGACCGAAACCTACGTAAATTTTCTAATTTTAGATCAAAGATTTAAATGGATAATTTATAGAAACAGTTTGAAAATTAAAAAAATAATGAATTATAGTTCTTCTGGTAAACATTTTATAGGGTTTGCATAAACTTTGAGAAAACTGTACTTGCTATAATAGTAGTAACTAATTTAAATTGGCGCATATCGCCCAACATAGGTTATTCGCTTTTCTGATTGTCCTTTGTAGGATTCGCTGCTGAGCTGTAGGGCTGGGATCGAATACTTAGGTTCATCTATTAGATTACATAGAGATTATGCACTAGAATATTTCGAAGGTGCTAATACTGGAGTAGTAAAGGCAATGCGGTAATTATAGCAATATGAAATACAGTATTTACCAATTATATTATTGACCACTAAAATCAATTTTATTCTCCAAAAATATTATTTTAGATTAAGTCTTGGAACGACAACGTCGGTAAAATTGCGTAAATGAAGCTAAATTGATAGCATAGAGGATTCTATCATTGATGAATATCAATTAAAAGATTTTCAAATATATTTCTTCTAGATATTAAGATTATCTGAAAATCAAACCTACATTCTGTTCAAGTTTGGAGCTCTTCTAACGATTTCTTGCATAATAACTGTGCTGTTTAACCTGCACTCTCGTATTTCACTTATTGTTAGTAACATCAACAGTCATTTTAGAACAGACAAAGACATGGAATAATTAAAATACGCATTAGTAATAAATAGGCTATGATAACTCTTAGAATTTTATGTAACCGCATAATATTAGTCATAATATTCTATAATAGCAATACTAAAATCAGATAGAGCTCGATTTAGCCATGCAACACAGTAAAATTATAGTTAAAAAATTTGGCTATAGAGATCATGAAAATTTCAATAGCTTATCATGTAAGGATTCATACAGATATCGTAGATGAGGGAATAGTTCCAATACTGCATAATTTGACGCTTGTATGTTGTAATTTCCATCTAACGAACTTAGAATAAAACAAGAATGGCATATATTGTTCGGTAATATTAGAACATTGTGAAAATCGAAAATTATTGCTCGTATGAGAATCCTGTAATTAACCGTACAAAAAATCAATTGATCTTAAATCTTGAAATGCTTGAATTTTAAATGATTTTATTCCATTATACGCCAAAGACCTATGAAATAAGATACTATCAATGTCTAATACATAAAATAAAATCCATTTTAATGTATTAAAAGTATAATAAGCATAGAAATCACACCCAATGTAGGTGGATATATATTATTATCGCAACCATTTACTAAACCTTTAGTCCTTTAATAATTAATCAATGTCATGAAAGTTCGGTGATCATTATATTAAATTTACAATTCTTAATTGAAGGAAAGCATACATGCAAGTCTCATACGGTGAAATTTTTACCACTCACATAGCTATATATAGTTATAGCAAAGTCCGCAATTGCAAAGCTAGATTTGTTGCTAATGTCATACTAGAATTGATACTTAAGATCGGATGCTATAAACTCCCGTATTTAGTAGCTACCATTAATGCTCACTGAAAGCAACAAGATTATATCCTAATTCAGAATAGCTAAATAAGACAGCTAAAGTTACTGATGAGCAGTGGATAAAAATTTTTAATTAAGTGAAATGTTATGTTGCGAATGCTGAACTGGAAGAAATCTTGCATAGTAAATTACGATGAATAATCTGCAGAAGCATACCAGCTAGACGCATTCACGAATATGAACGAGAGCAATTTAAATGACAAGGTAGTTGCTTATAAATGTTTCATCTTCCTGTACTAAGTAAAGTGAATTTTACTTCAGGTAGCAGCAATATTTAAGTCGGTAGATACTTAAGTATTCCTAAGTTATGTTTCACTGTGATATAGGTTAATGTAAGATAAGGCCACATAAGTTTATTTTTCACGGCTTAATATCTTATTAATTTTATAGTTTATATGGCATACCGACTATTTTACGTTATTTAGTATTTACTTCGCATTAATTCATACTTACAATATACCAAGCTACTGTAAATAAGTGAAAATACTACACAGGCTAATCGACCATTTTACAGAATATTAGAATTATATTATATCAACCTCAAAATTATATATCATTTGTTTTATTTAAGCTTTCTATAGGATATAGTACTTAATTCTCACAATTGCATATTAATGAGTTAGAGGTAATTATTCATTCATTATCCGTCTAAA